ACATCAAGAAGGCCAAACAAGGCTATACCATATGGTATGGCCAAAGGAAACAGGACCCAATGAATTCATTTTCAAATGAAGAAAGGAAAAGGGTACAGTGCACACATGCGTGCACAGGACACACACATAAACACACACACACACACACACACACACCCTGGCATGTAAACTAATATAAGATGAAGATAAATAAGACATAAAGGTTAGCCACTTATGTTGATAATTAACATGAATAAAAAGGCATTATATGTTTACATAGCCGGTTTTAATCAGCTATGGAACATATGTGAATGTATTAGGAATGATTTTTTTAAAAAACCGTTCACAGCTTAGAATAAAAAGCACATTTATTGCACTCTTACATTTTATTTCTGGCAATTATAGTTTATTTCTTACCCTCACATTATTTTTCCCTATTCCCCAGACTGAACTGCCACCCCACCCCATTTTGGTCCCTTTTCTCTCCATCTGTGCCTAGTCTGGTAACCCTGTTGCTTAGGCTACACTCTGCAGTTTCTTATGTAACTCACATCCCACCAAGACACACGGGATCAAAAGCTTAACACAAATGCAAGAGAGCGATTTTCAAAGCAAAACATGACAAAGCCCCTCAACTCATAACCCCATTCCAGCCTGTCAAGACCCTTTCCTTATGCACCTCTTCATGCGTTTCTTGCCCGACTCCCCTGCATCTACAGTATCAATGGGAACCAGTGGTTGTGGGTGCTGGATCATGTACTCAGCCTGCCAGGAGAAGGAAATGGTTTGCACAAAAAATTTTTTGATACTAACATGAATAAATATATTTTAGTTCTGTTTTCAAAGAGTACTTCAATCTATAGAATTCCTTACCAAAAAATGCACCACAAAAAATGATACACTGGCTGCGTCCTCATGCACAACTGGTTATATCATTACAATTAGTCAAAACGGCTAAATGTTTTTTGAAAGTGATTTAGTAATTAATGAAACTAAATTAGTTGAAATTGTGGGTGCTGAAATAAAGGATCTACTTTGATTATTTTGTTGAGGTGGTGACTAAATGTCCTCATGTATTTTTTTTTTTTTTACCTGTTACCTTAAGATTTTAGGACTTCAGATGCTGTCCTTTTCTACTTCAAAAATACCCAATAGGAACTGTTAAATATCCTTCTCACAATGAACAACAATTAGGACTGAATTTTAATTTAAATGTCTAAACAAAAGTGAAATTAAGTTACTTAAAAAAAAGCTTATGGTCAAGTGTACTGATATAACAAACATCTTACCAGTATTTAACTTTACCAGAGCTAAAAACATGTACCACAAATGCACTGGTCACCTTACTCTCCTCTGGTCAGTTACAAATCATTGCCTCTGCAGGCAGAGGTGCTACTGCCCTCCTTGGGCATTAGTAATTCATTTCAGTATTTCAGCCAAACAGCTAAAGGATGTTCTGGGGACAATACATTGGCTTTCTTGGGGGTGGTGAGGAATGAAACAAGATACAAGAACCACACCATGAAGTACGTCCAGTTTTACACATACCTGCTAGGTCATTCACAATTCCAATGGCCCTTCACAAAGGAGGTCTCCAGAGATGGCCCTCCTTGGCTCCCCACCATGCACTACAGCAGGATTAGTAGCACAGTTCAGCTTCATTTTGCAGACAAGTCTGGGAGGTGAGTTACATTTCAAACTCTGAAAATTCAGTGTCTAAGTTGGCAGCAGTACTCTGGAAACTAATTAAATCAAATTCTTTATTTTAATTTCTCCTTTCTCATTAGGTTAATACATGATTGCTGCCCAGCATTACAGTACTTCAACACTAAACTACAGCAGTTTCTTAAAATGTCTGTCAAACATTTCTGTTGTATAAAAGTTCCATGCTTTGAAGAACTGATGGGAGTAGAAAAAAGTTTCTCTAGAAATGTCACTGAATTGTATTTTCAACCTAGTTGCTCTATGTGATAAATATATCTGACTATACTAGGGATTATGTGCTTTAAAAAAATAATTTTGTTCACTGAAAATTTACTTGTGTTTTCTCATTTTTTAAATGTGATTTTGGCTATAAACTCTTTAGTGCATTTATCTTTGCAGTCTAAATTGCACTCTAAAAAATATTAACACAGCTGAGTTAAACCAGAGTGGCTGCTCTCTTCATAAATCACTGATTTCTGCTAAAATTTTAGCTTTTTTTTTTATTGCATCATGAAGGCACAGTAAGATCATTTGGCAAATTGTCAAGGTATTTTTCTAGAGCCTCACCTACACCATTTCCTGTATGACCTGTAAGCTACTTGCTATTCCTACTCACAGTAAACCTTCCGTCCTGGCTGTGGTTTATGGCCTAACAGTTGACATCTGATATTCTAGCATTAAAAACTCCAACTGGGACAAAAAGGAGAATCTTGCATAAAGGGCAGTCACTCTACCCTCTTGGCTGGGCAGTCTCTCATGAGTATCTGTGCAAATGACAAAGCTGTGGCTAACTCATTATGAAGATGTGCTACCTTGCTGAGCCTACTGAAAACTAAGATCATATCACTGGTAGTGAAGCGATACCCTAACTATTTAACTCCATGCAACTGACTTCAGGTTAAGATTCTGAAACGTACCCCTAAACAGATTCTGGCACCACTTCCAACAACATTCAGATACTCAAACTACAATTTTTTTTTTTTTTTTTTTACAGTATCACTGCTTAAATGTATAATGCCCTTTAGGACAAAATGAGAGTGCTCAAATAGAAGTACACATAAAAGTTAAAATCTTAAATCATCTTCATGTTCTAAAGCTCCTGACTTTTCATATTTTAAGATAAATAACTATTCATTACCTCATCCTGAGGAGGTAGTTTTTTTGAAGAGGTCACCTGAACCCTGCAATGTGTTTCAAACTACAGCTAGAAGAGATTTGCAAAAGCCTGGCGAGGTGGGTATGCGGGTGGGGACAGGTGAGTCTGAGGAGGGGTGTGCAGCAGCTCCAGCGGTGCCTGATGGATACAAGATAGCGCGCTGTGATACAAGAGCTGTGACACACCACACAAGAATGAGGGTGTTTACAAAGTCTTGGGCTGACAGTGCTGAAGGCTGGAATTATTTCTTTTTAATGTTCTTCCTCTCTAATACCAACATAAACATAACTTATATGAAATTTCAGCTTCTAGGATGCCTCAGTATGACCTACTAAACCTCAAATACAATCAGGGATGGGATGTTCAGGAACCAGAATTTGATAGCTTGACAAAGTCTTTTAAAGTGCATGTAAGTACAAATGATCACATTGGATTTTTTTATTCACAAACCCCTTCTATAAAACATGTTTTTTTTGGGGGAGGGTCAATAGTATTTCAGTGGCAATTTTCAGGGTCCTAGACCCTAGTTTAATAATAAAGAAAAAAAAACATAAGAAATATTATATTATTTAAAAACAATCTTTTATAGTTGCTTTCAAATTTTTTAGAAGGCTTCATTCTTTCAACCAAAAATGAAACACCCGCAGAAGGCACTGCAACCACTTTATGGACAAGACTGACAGCTATAGCCTTATAAGATGATGGGTGAAGCAGCCGCACACTGTCTCCACAAATTACTCATAAAGTGCTTTGCACAAACAAGGGTTTCTTCCTTCTATTTTCTTAGGCGCCCAACAAGTCTTTCTGCAGTGTAAGCATAAAAAACTAAACAAAAAACCCCAAAAGAAACTCTTTTTTTCGCCATTTGTAAACTAAAGTGAAAAACTATGATTTGATGGGAATAAAGAAAAGGAAGGTTTAAACATTTTATTTATTTCTAAAGTTCTCTATAAAAAAATCTCTCAAAACCCTGAGCCTGACTTCTGGGCACAGCTTCATTTATCAGCTTTTCAGATGAAACAGCAATCTACTTTAAAATGAAAGGAGGATAAAAAGTATTACCCTGTATTTCATTCAGAAAACTGGAATGCTAAGCTTCCTCCCTAAGTATGCTGGAGTTGTCCCAGATGCTGAGGTGGCCCCGCTTGCAGGCCCAGCACACAGAGCAGGCTCTGCTCCTCAGCAGGACCCACATACATATCTATGATTCAAGCCCTGCTCTCTCCAGAGAGGATCTAAGCTCTGAGCCAATCTTTGTAAAGGGAATACAGCCATATTTACAACCATCTATAGAGATATATTTAAAAAGGACAAATAAACAATGCTTTTCAGAAAGAGGCAGCATCATATGCACAGAAGACACCTTTTGATTTCTAAATTTTCTCTGCTCATGTAAGACTTAAAAACATTTCACCGACTGGGGATGTGGCTCAGTGGTAGAGCATTTGCTTGGGTTCCATCCCCAGCACTGCAAAACAAAACAAAACAAACAAACAAACAAAAAAACCCCAAAACCAATAAAAAAAAAATAAAAATAAAAATAAAAACAACCAGTAAAAACACATCGTTAAAACTGTTAATAACTTAGGATATATTTCATTTTACTGGAACAACCTTTGTTAAATCCATGAAATTTTCAATAGGCCTTCTTCTGATTAAGATATTTTAGTAAAATTCATCTAATGAAATGTAGTATAGTGGGAGAGGAATTATAATCTGAAAAATTTAACTAACTTCTGGTTCCCTGATGTAAGTCCTGTTGAATTTCCTTCAGGTCCTTGGCTATGACTCATCTGGACTAAGTACATCTCATTTAATTTGGATTCCTCAATCCTGATAAATGATTCTAAGGAGATTATTTGCTATTAATACATCTGGTCACTTTCTTTGCTACTTTGGTGATTTATAATCTGCCCTTTAATAAAGGTCAAGGGAAGCTATGACTAGGTTATATTTTCCATTTGTGAAAAGACAAGACAGATTTAGGTTCTCAATACCTCAGCAGCTCTTTCTATAAAAACAACTGATGGTAGGCTTCACACACCCTACCTCAGTCTTGACATCCCTAAGATTTTCCTATTCTCTGCTTGGGGAACTCAGCTGCAAAATTATCCAACCTTTTGAAGACCAGGCTTGGGAAAAAAGGAAGGAGGAGAATGAATAGAGATACCACCATTTTTATTTCAGGTTGCATATTCTAGGTAAAAGACTAGAAAGTGGATGTAGGATGTAGTGTTGGAATCAATTGGAAGAAACAATGAGATTATTAGCAAAGATGTTAGTGTGGATCCAGCAAGTACCATTAATTTAAAAATTATAAATATTTGTCATTATGCTAAGACTCCCCATATTTAGGTAGAGAAAAGGATAATGATCTTTCTTTAAAAGTTGTTTATGTAACAAAAATACAGTTTTCAGGCTATATAATTCTGGTGGGAACTATAATTTCACTCCAATTCAATTACAGCTGAAAATTATTTTCTTTTTAATAAAAATATAATAGAAGAAACTCAGAAATTAAAACCTGTACCTTACATTTAATTACATAAATTTCTCACATTCAAAACTGTTATTAAGCAGTTTTGCAGGCTTTTAATCAGATACTGTCCATGGCATTTTGGCCCTGGACAAAGTAGCCACATAAGTACTTAGTGACTGGAAGAGCTTAGAGGAAGATATAGACTGTATTTTCCTGAGAATTTGCTACATTGTGGAGGAAACAAGTCCCCAACTCTCATCTTCATTGCTGGACCCAATGAGAAAAGAAGGCGGTATGTGCCAGCACTGTCCAGCCTGCATGGTTAGGCAGAGCCCCAGGGAGCAAGGCAACCAGAGGCTAGAGACCTGGGAGGTCCGGAAGAAGATGCAGCATTCCCTTTTCCTCTGCTCCCAGACTCCTCCTTACTGCTCAACCTCCAATCAAATAAATAGAGCTTCACTGTGATAGAATTTGTCAAGGACTGAACATATACCACACAGGAAGGGGATGCTGCATTTTTGTTCCATTCCTCAGAAATTAACTGATGGTAGCCAGGGGAAAGAGCTCCATAACAAAATCCCAGAACAGGAAAGAGAACGATGCTTGGTGATTGAAACTGCCCCATCAGATGATCAGCCACAAACTGATCTGGTGGTTAGAAGGGCAAAGTTGACTGGCAGACCTTCCATAGCAAATCTCCCAAGCTGTAGCAGCAGTTTCTTTCCATCATGCCTGACCATCAAAAGGTCAGAATTCAGGGTCTCTCCTCTTTCTTCCTGGGAGTGGGCAGACGTGTGCACGTGGTATTTGTGGTGAAGAAGAAACACTGGCAGCAGAGAATTCGGTTCCTAAAACATTCTTCCCTCTTTTGTTGGAAAGGAGACTCCATTCTGTTCCATACCAGCTTATGCATTGAAAATTTTATATCTTTAAAAAAAAGGTTTGAGGAACAGAATTGTGTTTTGATGTTAACAAACTGTACGAACACAAGACTTAAATAAAGAGTAGATGCTGCCATGATGGTGTGACTACTTGAAGGCTGCAAATTCTCCTGTAAGGGAGGACAAGAGCTAATTTTAAAATAGTTATCTAAAAATAACCTCAAGGTAGTAAAACTTCATTTAAATCTCATTGAAAGGTGACCAGTTATATACTACAAACCTGGTATCATCATCATTAGTTTAAAACCCCAAATGGCTGAAATATATGAAAGAATCCAAATATGTATATATGATAGATAAGTATGGTTCAGCTATATCAATAAAATATCAAGTCTGCAGATAGTTTCACAGCTGGGTTTGATATGTTATGGTTTAGATCAAGCTAAAAATAGTTTCAAAACAAAATTTCAAAAGAAATTGGTTGCACAATTGCAATGTCAATTTGCATAATACTTCTCTAAATTATCAACTCATTTTCATCTATCATATTACATATATAATGAAAGTCACTATAATAAGGAAGAAGAAAGAAATTATCCTTGTTTTTATAAAAATAATTTTTAGTTGTTGGGCTGAGCTGTGGCTCAGTGGCAGAGCCTAGCACATGTGAGGCACTGGGTTCAATCCTCAGCATCGCATACAAAAATAAGCAAATAAAATAAAGGCATGCTGTCCATCTACAACTACAAAAATTTAATTTTTTTAAAAATTTGTTGATGGACCTTTATTTTATTTATTTGTATGTGGTGCTGAGAATCAAAACCAGTGCCTCACGCATGCTAGGCAAGTGTGCTACCACCGAGCCACAATCCAGCCCTTATCTTCATTTTGTACAAACCAACTGAAAGGTCTAATGATCTGTCCACATCACACATTTGACAGGAGAGGAAGTCCAGACCTCCCACTTTCTAGTTAATTTTACTTTTTCCAACTATAAAAAATTAAACCCAGGCACTTTTCACTGAACTTAATTCTCTGCATAAAGAGTTCTTTAAATCATAAAGTCCCTTTGAGGTACTATATTTCTTCAAGCTTGACAAATTTGGAAGCTTCCTGGAATTATTAATATTTTTTGTACTGGGTATTGAATCAGGGCTCTTTACCACTAAACTAACATCACTAGTCTTTTTTTAAAAGAAATTTCAGATTCTTTATTTTTTAGAGAGAGAGAGAGAGAGAGAGAGAGAGAGATATTTTTTTTTTTAATATTTATTTTTTGGCGGACACAACATCTTTGTATGTGGTGCTGAGGATCGAACCCAGGCTGCACGCATGCCAGGCGAGCGCACTACCGCTTGAGCCACATCCCCAGCCCATAATTTCAGATTCTTTTAAAAAACTTTTCTTTTAGTTGTAGATGGGCACAACAAATTTATTTATTTATTTTTATGTGATGCTGAGGACGAACCTAGAGCCTCACATATATTAGGCATGGGCTTTACCACTGAGGCACAATCACAGCCCTCCCTAGTCCTTTTTATTTTATTTTGGGTCTGAGTTGCCAAGACTGGCCTTGAGCTTGTGATCCTCCTGCTTCAGCCTCCCAAGTAGCTGGGATTACAGGTGTGTGCCACTGTGATAGTTTCATGGCATTATTTTTCATCTAACATTCTGTCTACAGCTGGTACTTGTAAACTCAAGGCCAGTTCTCGTTACTATATAATACTAAAGTTAATTTCTGGGAGTTGGTTAATAATTGACAATTATTAGAATTTAGTCTGCTATAACATCATTTTTTTGCATAGCACTGTCTGAGGAGGATCTAAGCAATCACTTATATGAATACACTATCAATCTAGGAAGAACCTATCCATTTTTTCGTGGCTGTTAGATTCTACTTGGTTGCCAGAGAATGTCAGCATGTCCTAATGCAGAGCATATTACCTAGTACCCTGGTGACTGGTTGAACCCTGGGATTTGTATGCTGATGATATTAGCAACTGTTTTGAGTGCCAGACATGCCAGATGCCTCAACTTAACATTTTATACACATTTACATCTGACACTCATAATAATCCTATGAAGTAGACCCTATTATTATCTTCATTTTATAGATGAGCAAGTTGAGGTTTAGAGTGGTCAAGCAACTTATCCACCAAGATCACTCTGTGGAACAAAAGCTAATTTTAAAATAGTTATCTAAAATAACCTCAAGACAGTAAAATTTCATTTAAATCTCATTGAATGGTGACTAGTTATATACTACAAAACTAGCAACATCATCACTAGTTTAAAACCCCAAATGGATGAAGTGTATGAAAGAACCCAAATATGTATATATGATAGATAAATATGGTGGAATGCTTGTGGAATGCTAACCTAGGTGCTGCCTCTAAAGCCCAGGTTCTCAACAATTAACAAGCCCCTGAACAATTTTATTAAAAATTAAAATTTGTATTCCCACACTGATTTCAACTAGTTATTGAACAGCAGATAGTCCTTACTTCTATTCAGGGATTCCTTTTATTAAACAATTAACCATGGTGTTGCAAAAATGAAGATGGGGAAGGGTAAAAGAATTATTACCTTAAAGTTAAAAGGATTAAGGAATTTGGCACTGATTAAAATGAAGAGCCGAATTACTAAGACCTTGGAGAGTGAAGGATTTCAAGCACAATCACAGGAAGCTATTATATTAACAGAAACTTGAAATACACAAACATACTCACCATCATTGCTCACTTTTGGGTACATTATAGTTTTAAGATTATTTTCAGTATTTTAATCAATTTCTTTAAAATGACTTGCAATATTCCTATAAGTACTAACTGCATCCATCATGATTCAATGTGAAAATAAGATTTAGGTCATATTTTGTTGAGCACTGTCCTATTCCACAAACTTAAAATATTAGCCTTAAAAATAATGAACAAAACAACCCCCAAAGAATAACATCTTATCAACAAACTCCAAATCTCATGCGAGTAAAACAAACACTAAAGATATCCTACCAAGTCTACTACTTCTAATCAAATGAAGTTTTTTCATAATCAGATTCTGGGTGAGCGGGTAGAGGAGACAAAAAGAACTTACAGTTTAGGAAGCAATAAAATAACTCTATGAATATCCATGCAATCACAAATAATTTTAAAGGAAAGATGGAAATAACAGGTGATGAATCTGCTTTTGAAAAATAAATCTACTCTAATTCCTTTTTGCCTATCTGGGAATCTCTAGATTCCATCTCCTACTCAATTACTTGAATTCAGGGGCAACTTTGCTTGTGTGAAGTAATTTGAAGTGAAACATCTGCTACTTTTTGAAAATCTTGGTATATCAACTGAACTTATCAAAAAAATTAAAGACAAACAACATTTTCTTTCTCCTTCTTTCTGGTTGAGGATAACCTAAGCTTAATTTTCTATTTGATGAAAATGGGAACAGGGCAGAGAATTACTTGAAAGACTTTTAAGAAAACAAGACCTTGTGCTTTTAGATACCTCAAATAACATGATTTATTTGAAAGGTAAGGACTTTGTTAACTAATTTAAAAATATAAACAATTATTCTCTGTTCTAGAATTGAATGTATTGCAATGGTCATTATACACACAATTTAACAAAGTTCCTTGAAGATAAAATATGCTATGAAAAATCTAAAAGGTTGTTCCTTATACAAATCAATCACTGCTTTAGATGTAGGAGACAACTGAAACCAGAGTAAACTTTTTGTGATGATCTTTCAGGCAGTTTCAAAAGGATAAGAAACATTCTGGCACAGATACCCTGGGCTGCCTGAATTCATAGAGAAACAGCACAAGTGAGGTGGAATACACGGTATAATGAAAAGTGCTATAGAAATGCTTAATACTTCAGTAATTCTCAATCAAAAAAGGACTATAACTGGTAGTATTCATTTCATAGTATTTTAAAAAGGCAGACTATATTCTTGAGAATGACACATTTGAGAGAAAGGACATTTAAGCTAGTATGTTAAATAATACATTTTAGGATGATTTTAACTGGTTTATAATTTAAATGACTAATATTATAATACCTGAAAATAAACTAACCTGAATGAAGCATTTAATTAAATTCTGTGGTCTTTTTTTTTTTGGTGGTGTTGGGGCTACTAGAGATAGAATTCAGGGGCACTTAACCACTGAGCCACATCCCCAGCCCTATTTTGTATTTTATTTAGAGACAGGGTCTCACTAAGTTGCTTAGAGCCTCACTAAGTTGCTGAGGCTGGCTTCAAACTCTTGTTCCTCCTGCCTCAGCCTCCCAAACTGCCAGGATTATGGGTGTGAGCCACCGTGCCTGGCCAAATTCTATGGTCTTTAAACTACTTACCTCAAAACAAATCTTATTTCTTATCACTGACTCTTAAAACTTTTAAAAGGTAAAGCAAATATTATAACAAGGTTGCCTTCTGAAGAAGGAAATCAATTTTACTGAAAAAATATCTGAGGGCAAGGCCTTAGCAAAGAAGTAATCAATCACAAGAAAACAAACATCCTGTTTCAATTACCTAATGAAAGAGTAGCTCTACATATGCTTAGAAAAAATTATGTTTTTCCTTTTTTTAAAAAAATATTTATTATTTAGTATTAGTTGGACACAACATGTTTATTTTATTTATTTACTTTTATGGAGGTGCTGAGGATTGAACCCAGGGCCTCGCGTGTGTTAGGTGAGTGCTCTACTGCTGAGCCACAACCTCGGCCCCTATGTTTTTCCTTTTTTGGAGACTGTATCTAAAACTCAGCATAAAACAAACAAACAACAACAAACAGAAACAGAAGCTGATTTAATTCTAAAGATTCCTATTCTCTGATCTAAACATCTCACTTGCCATATTTCCATGTTTTTCAGGTTCTTCTACTAATCTAGTGGGCCAAACTTGGAAGGGATATTAAATTACTATGCAACTCTGGAGGGATGCTCCACTGTCTATGGGCATGAGTTCCTAAGCAGCTCAACAGGGCTTAGCAATGCTCACTGGCAAAAAAAAAAAAAAAAAAAAAAGACATAAATGAAAGAAGTCAAATGCAGATGGCGGGGATTGGGATGGTGGGAGTGTTTTCTGGGCTGGATAGTGTTGGGGAGAAAGAAAGAAATCAATTTTACTGAAAAAATAAGTAAGGCAGGTATATTGGAAGATGATACAAAGAGTTCTATCAATAAAAAGATCCTTTAAATGCATAAGGGCCTGGGTCGATCTCCAGCACTGAAAAACAAAAAACAAAAACACAAAACCCTCCGATCTTTATTTCAAAATTCCCAAAACTTTTTTGAGCACTCCAAGACTAAGTCAATTTTGTGAAAATTTTGTTAGCCAGGTGCCTGCTATTCTTTTTGTGAATACATACAACTTTACTAACTACTACCCCTCCTATCTTTAGAGACACTGGAGGTTTTAGAAATCATTAACTTTGATGTTTTGCAACATGTTACATTCTTTTATCCCTTAATTTTTTTAAATATGAAAAAATGTCCTTTTTTACTATCTTGAAAGGCACTAATCAATCTATAAAGTCATAATGTCAATGCCTTTTATTCTTTTTTCTTTTTAGTACCAGGGATTGAACCCAGGGGGTGCTTAATCACTAAGCCACATCCCTAGCCCTTATTTTTCATTTTGAGAAAGGGTCTCACTAAGTCGCTTAGGGCTTTGCTAAATTGCTGAGATTGGCTTTGAACTTATGATTCTCCTGCCTGAGTCTCCTGAGCCTCTGGGATTACAGGCTTGGCACAATGCCTATCTTAAGTTAAATGAGGGCCAAAAGGTATGTCACAGTTATTTTTCGTTGTTGATGGACATTTATTTTATTCATTTATTTATATGTGGTGCTGAGAATCAAACCCAGTGCCTTACACATGTGAGGCAAGCACTCTACCACTGAGCCACAACCCCAGCCGCCATAGTTATTAATGAGTTGTTTTCCTGAATGAAATCTAACTATGCAAGTAGTATTTCAGAAGTTTGTCTCTGGTATTTAAAAACTAAATTATAATTAAGTTACAATTTTCCTAGTTTTTTTCTTTATTGACTTTGAAGAAGGATATGCAGATGTCTGTCTGCTGAAATAACTTTCAGTTGCTGGCTGTATTTAAAAATTAGCACAAATCTAAAATGAGTAAGTAAAGATGTAGTTAAGAGTCCAGCTTTTGTTCAGAGGACTATAAGTAGAGTTGGCAGTATCTTTGATAAGAACACAACACTGCCTCCCTACTTTTTGATTCCCTTTGAATCATAGAAGAGTACTGTATGAATGCCACATTATAGTAATTTTCTACACAAGAATATTTAAGTATTAGAAGAATTTCATATTGTGGAATGCAAAAAAGAAGAGCAAGCATTCATCAAGAGCAGAATCTTGCTGGACAAAGGATATAAAGGGGACAGAAATTTATGAGACACAATGATAAAGTGATTGCTATAATATATATCACAAGAGATAAGTATATTCTAAAGTAGCAACTTTAAGAAGAAATCATTACGTGATTATGTGGCAACCAGAATTACCTAAAGTTAGAAAATTCTGTGAAGTTATTTTTGGGAAAAGGAGATGAGAATAAGAATAAGGGGGCAATGCATTTTTATTGTAAGGAAATTTGACTTCTATTCATGTAAGATATCCTTAATATATACAGAAAACTAATCTAAAAGGAATTCCAATTTATAACCCGTTCCCACTAAAATTCCAAAATTAAACCATTTTACTCATGTCAAACATGCCACTCAGTAATATCGTTGGTCATTTACACCCACAATTTATTTTAAAAAATTTAGTCATTTGCTTTAAGGAGATAAACATCCAAATTTTCTACAAAGTAGTAAAAAGAAATAGTTATAGAAAAAATATTAAGTAGAATAAGAACAGGATTATTCAATTCTAGTGACTTCCTAAATTAGATCTGCTTTGGTTTGCCCTATTTGACACAGGCTAACTTATTGTCAACTTCCCCTCTGTGAATATGTATCTCCTCTGGCATCCCTAATGATGATTGACAGTTAATAACAAAAGCTGCATGAGAAAACTGAAGTTTAATAATTAGAATGACCAACGGAATAAAACAAATTCACAACAGGAAATCAAGCCTCTGGAAGAGGCACTGCCAGTTTTTAGTAATGTTTGTGTGCTTTTACACACAAACACATGGTTAAATCCAATATTAGGGTATGGATTTTAGATTGGGAAAAAATTTTACTAGTGTTTAAACACTCAAGTGTTCTTTGGCTCATCTTAAAAAAGAAAAGAAAAGAATATCCTGTTCAATATAACATATAAGCAAACACATGTCCATTTATTTCTTTTTGTTGCTACCCTCCTTTAATTTCTCACTCATTTAATCTGTTTCAGTGGACAGGAAACGCACCATATCCCCCTGCCTGGATGGGTGTTTTTGGAGAAGCACAAGCATAGAGACTAAAATCCTCTGTTTGGAAACCAGCCCGATTCAAGGAGGGTTCTGATGCACTGCGGTGAATTTTTGGCAATGAGCGGGCCAGCAGCTCAATAGAGGCGAGAATCTATGGAAAAAGAAAACAAACAAATAAAAAGAAAACAGAATGAAAACCTGGGTGGCATAAATCTTTAAGAGACTCATCATACAAGAAAGCATCTGAAATCTTACATTGTTTTTAGTATTATAAATGCCTAGAAAAACAGAAGCTGGTATTTTTCCCTAAAAGCAATTAACAAAAAACAAAACAAACCACCCGATACTACAACTTTTATTTCTGTAAACTGAATGGACAAAGTAACTCCATTAAGAGCTTTTCTTTATGTTTTAGATCATTTGCCAAACTTGGAACAGTAAATAATAAAAAAATTTAAAACCAATTATATTTGTTTGGCACAGACCACAAGTTCCTTTTGGAAAGAAGATAGAGTATAAGTAAGTATAAGTAAGTACTACATGGCTAGCTCTAAACAGAACAGAGCAACTTATCCTTTAAAGAAACTCAGCAATGGGAAATGGTTCACACACATATAAATAAGACCCCACTGACTTAGACTGCTAGTGGTATGTCTCATAAATGAGAAGTGACAAATGAATGGTGAAGACAGGGAAAGCCTACAAATAAATAACAATATACAAAAGCAGAGAAATTCACATATTTTAAGGTACAAAAGAAACATGATATAAAAGTATACAGCATGATAATGCATGTTCATAATCATGAGACGTGTACAAAGGGCTTTGCACAATGCCAGGCATAAAGTAAGTACTCAATGAAATTTTAGCAGAAATTATCATTAATACTATTATTACTGTTCTGAACTATCAATATTATTTTTAAGTCAAACTATAATCTTTATAGTGACTAGTAAAAGAGGAAAATAAATACGCAATGTTACAAAAATTTTTGAATTCTAAAACAAGTAAATAAAATTTAAGCTGGGTACATTAGTGCACACCTGTAATTCCAGCTACTCAGGAGGATTTAAAGTTCAAGGCCAGACTCAGCAACTGTGAGACCGAGTGACAAAATAAAAAAAATAAAAAAGGAGCTAGGGTTATAGCTCAGTGGTAAATGTGCCTCTAGGCTCAATCACTAGTATCTTAGTGAATGAATTAATGAAAACAAACATAAAAAGTAAAAAGAATAAGGTTCTTTAAATCCCATTCTCCAGGGATAATCATACTTTCTTCTGGATCTTTCCTATACATAAATATATACATATAAAAACAGAGCCCATCTTCACCACCTTTTATACTACACTTTTTTCCTCATTGTTTTCTTTTTACCCTCATTAATATCCATGCCATCTATAAAGTTACCTTCATTTTTATGTCTTCAAATTTAATCTATTATAGTAAACTTTTTTTTTATATACCCAAGTACTTATGGAAGTAGGTTTGATAGCACAGGGTTTTAAGAGTATTTTAAATTTATGGATTCTACACCAAATACTTCCCACAAGCTGAACAATTTACTTTCTCACTACACAGTTACCACCCCCCCCCCCAAAAAAAAAAAATTCTTAAAAGAATAATTCCTACCTCCCAACATTGTTCCCAGTGTTGGATACCAACAATTTTGACAGGCAAAATCAAAGGGTATCCCATTTTGGCATTTTACTAACTGCCATAGAAATTTTTGTCTTTTTCTAAGTTCATTCACCATTTGTATTTCTTTTACGCATCACCTGTTCATATTCTTTGCCCTCTTTCTACTGACTTGTCTTTGTGTGTGTGTGTGTGTGTGTGTGTGTTACTAGGGATGAAACTCAGGGGCACTCTACTACTTGTGATCCTCCTGGCTCAGCCTCTTGAGTTGCTGGGATTACATGTGTGTCCCACCATGGCCAGATCTTTTGACTGTCTTACTTACTGATTTTGTAAAATGTTCACCTTTGTTATATATGCTAAAAAATTAGCCAGGTGCAGTGGCATATACCTGTAATCCCAGTGGCTTGGAGGATTGCCTCAAGGCTAGCATCAGCAACTTAGTGAGGCCATATCTCAAAGTGAAAAACAAAAACAAAACCAAAAAAGGGCTGGGCATGTAGCTCCTGGGTTAAATCTATCAAAAAATATATCTTTCTCTTTAAATTTTAATATTATTTTTTACTAATGTAGAAATTTAAAAAATTTAATGCAGGCATATATACTATATTAAACTTTATAATTTCCGAACTTTGCCTCTTGTTTAGGAAAGCCTTTCCTTCTTCAACACTGTAGAAATGATTTCATATTTTATAGTTGTTTTACATATAGATCTTTAGCCATTTAGGATTTATGTGGCGAAAAATTGTATGGTGTAGAAAGATAACCTCTGGGGCTGGGGATATAGCTCAGTTGGTAGAGTGCTTGCCTTGCATGCGCAAGGCCGTGGGTTCAATCCCCCATCACCTCAAAAAGAAAAGAAAAGAAAAGAACCTCTAACAAGCTGTGTGTGGCAGCACATGCCTGTAATCCCAGCTTCTTGGGAAGCTGAGGCAGGAGTATCACCAAGTTCATGGTCAGCCTCTGCAACCTGGGGAAACCCTGACTCAAAAAACAAACAAAAGAAATAACAGGGTTGAGGATATTGATCAGTTATCTGTCAGCAATTATGATAACAGATTAACAGAATGCCCCGAGTTAATTCCCAGTAAAACATACACACACACGCACACACACACACACACAGAAAAACAACAAACTAAACAAAAACAAACTGTAATGAAAATTTAAATATAATACTTAAAGGAGTAGCCTCCACTAATCTAGAAAATTCATATTCATATGCACATTTCAATTTTTGATACCACTAAATGAATGAAATGATATATTTAGAAGTATGAACAATTCTGTCCCTTTAAGTAAGAAATGTTAGCACCTGGGATGTGAAAAGAGATCATGGTACTGGCCCAGCTGCTGATGTTCAACAACACTGGTCTTTCATCCAGATGTTTTCTGAGTTAAAAACCAAGCCAAAGCAAAGCAAAGCAAAGCAAAGCAAAATATCCCAAAACTCTTTCTTAAAGTAACGGCAACGTAGGGTCATAGAACATAAAAACATTTATCTATCCATTTAACCATTTAGCCTCCCCTTTCTTTTCTGGGGCAGCCCTTGACACTTGCTATAACCATCAATTCTACCTTCTTTAATTTTTTTTCTCTTTTAAACATTTATTTTTTAGTTGTAGTTGGATACAATACCTTTATTTTTATGTGGTGCTGAGGATCGAACCCAGGGCCTCGCACATGCTAAGCGAGCGCTCTACCGCTGAGCCACAACCCCAGCCCCTTCTTTAATTCTTTAGAAAAGAAAAATTTTGGGATAAAAAATGAAGGATGAGTGAATCTCATTTCTGTAATGGTGACTTATCTAAGTACTCTAGTTAGGACTGACATTCAAAGGCATAAGAACCACAAAGAAATGTCCCAGCAATTATGATAACAGATTAACTATGGAAGTCTGTACTTCCCACTTTTATTAGTTGTTCAAAACATTACATAGCTCTTGACAAGTACTTCCCACTTTAAACAACTGATTTGTCATGGGGTATATTTAGACAGCGTTATCATGAAGTTCCCAAGCATAAGAAAATGCTGCATTTATATTATAATATCTGTTATAGTTAAATGCTTTAAGCTTGTTACCTTAGTTTCAGTTCTTTGTGATGTTTATTTCTTTTTTCCTTTCTTTTTTAAAAAAATATTTATTTTTTAGTTATAGTTGGACACAATACCTTTATTTCACTTATTTATTTTTATGTGGTACTGAGGATCGAACCCAGGGCCTCGTGCGTGCAAGGCAAGCACTCTACCGCTGAGCCACAACCCCAGCCCCTTTTTTTCTTTCTTAATTTTTTGTGAGGTGGAGTCTAGACATGTTGCCCAGGCTGGCCTCAGACTCTAGGCTAAAGCGATCTCTTCTACCTCAGCCTCCCAAGTAAGCGACACCACATTGGCTCTTTGTGTGGTTTATTAAAGATTATTAACTTTAGCCTCACAACATAAAAAGATTAAAAAAAAGCAATGAAGAGTTATAAAGAATCATGAAAAGAAGACTGCATTCATTGCCTTTTCTTTGTGCGCCTGGTGGGCATGTCCCTTAAAAAGACCTCGTATGAAAGGGAAACTTGGAACCTCTTTACCATCAAGAAGAATAAGCATCAGTTCACAAAGTATGAGTTGTAGGCCTCTAAAAGGTCCATGGGTCAAAACTATTTTCATAACAATATTAAGATATTATTTGCCTTTTTACTGTCATTTTACAAGTCAAGTTTTCAGAGGCAACAATATAATGTAAGATACTACAACATAATGCAAGAGCAAAAAATCCAATTATTTTCTTTTTTTAAAGACATTTGAAAAAGAATGTAAAATGTAAATACCATTATTCTTTCAATAATGGTTTTGGTTTGGAAAACAGTAATTATTACTTATATAAGCAAAAATTCTTTGGGGTCTTTCATAATTTCTAAATGTATAAAAGAATCTGTAACCAAAAAGTTTGAGAAATGCTGGATAAATGCAAAGACCTTCTGAAAGTTTGTGTTGGGAGCCCAAACTTATGCTCAATTTTCACAAACCCATCTTCGTGTTTTTACCTGTCTGGAGGCTGCACATAATCACATGGAATCTAAACCTTTGAAACAAACAGTGTGCTCCATGGAGTGCTTGAAAATCTGCCTCTGAATGTTAGGCTATTCTTTTAGTTAGCACAAAGTTTTTTCTTACTTGGGGAAAGAGTGGTCTTTCATCTCTTTTCTTTTTGAGGCACTCTGCCATTAATCTCTTCATGGCTTTTGGACAGTTACTCCGTACCTTACTGAGATCTGGGGATAGGTATCCTCGTCCCACCATGAAAATTATCTGGAGAAAAATAAAGGTAAATCACATATCTTTTACATAAGTTAAAATATATAAACAATGAAAAATCAATAAGCTCTACACTTAAGACATTTGTACTTTTCTAAATACATCTTATGCTTTGATAAAACCAACAATGCTAGTATATGGGTTCCTATATATCAGAGATTGTGGAATACCCATCCCCAAAGGGCTGCAATCTGAAATTTTCATGACCTGGGGCTGTCCAAAGGGCTCTTAACTCCTGTGCTGCTAGTTTCTCCTTATGTAGTCTATGTTCCCGCTGACAGTAACTGTTATGAAACACACAGATCCAATAGTGTTTCTTCTTTCCTTAAAAAAAAAATGGTTACTGAGCCAGGTGCAGCTATGCATGCCTGTAATCCTAGTGGCTCGGGAGGCTGAGACAGAAGGGATTGTGAGTTCAAAGCCAGCTTCAGCAACTGCAAGGTGCTAAGCAATTCAGTGAGACCCTGTCTCTAAATAAAATACAAAATAGGGCTGGGGAATGTGGCTCAGTGGTCAGGTGCCCCTGAGTTCAATCCCCAGTACTAAAACAACAACAACATTAACAACAACAAAAGCAAAACAAAAAACAAAACAAAACAAAAAAGTGTTATTGAGTACTTTTAATTGTTGGGTATTAGGCTAACTCCTTTGCATATGTGTAGCAAGAACCAAAAAGCTAACCTTTTTAGCAATCATTTGCCCTAGTGCTATGGAAACTCTAATGGGGCATTTGATTATAGGACCTCAGAATCACAGCCTCTTCCATCCCAATAGAAATCTTTTAACCATGTTTATATGGTCTCAGCTCCTTCCCATGAGAAGAGAAGGTGAAGCCTTTCAGCTCTTTTGAGGGTAGATGAAAACAGATGTTAGGAGTCTTGGGAATCTGGGAAGAGAGGATCTGAAGAGAGGGAGTTTTCATCTTAGAAGGAACAGGTCCCAGAGGGCTGGAATAGATGCTAGGGTGGAGGAAACTAGTAAGAAAGCCCCCATTCTGGGCAGAGCTGATGGAATTTTAGATATATTCAAGGTTAATGTTTGGTGTCAAATGACCCTTGTTTATGAGTCTGAAGTAAAGTTTTAATTGCAATGTGATCTCTATGGTACAGTTAAAAGGATGAAGCTTGGGAAGAGATATTGAGGGGACACAGATTTCTTCCATCTTGCCCTCTTCTGAATCCAGGATGTATAATCACTTTAATGGAGGAAAGAGACTCAGAATCCTAGCAGGAACTTGGAATAATACCTTGAAGCAACAGGTGACTACAAGCAACAACCAGGAAAAAGTAAAGCACTTAACAAGGGGGTCTTCAAAGTTGAGAAACAGTCTGGACTGTCTACATTCACAGAGGACAGCAGTTCAGATATGCCGACTTGGCTATCAATGGAAAAAGTAGCCATGAAAGGCCAAAAAAACTTTGGTACACTTGAATTATAGATGTCATCTAATTTAACACTCAAAATAATTCTAACAAGGTAGGTATTAACCCTATTTTACAAATTAGGAACCCAAAGTTCAAACAAATCTAAGAACTTGTCCAAGATAATGCAGCTATATAAGAATTTGGAACTGGGCATGGCCCACAAACTCAAGATCAGTCTGGGCAATTTAGCAAGACCTTGTCTCAAAAATAAAAAGGGTTGGGGATGTAGCTCAGTAGTAAAGTGCCCTTGGGTTCAATCTCCAGCACCAAATAAACAAACAAACAAACAAACTAGATAAGACCATCCCAATAGAAATCTTTTAACCATGTTTTATATGGCCTCAGCTCCTTCCCAGGTTCCTGTAAAATTCTGGTGAATTGAAGGCCTAACTAAAATTGAATCTTGCTCATCATACCTTTCCTTTCACACCAAGAAATGATAATGCCCTCCTTTCCACCAATAGCTGTTATGACTATTTACTGCATCCGATGGTTATTAATCTTCTTGTGATTATGTAAATTCCCCAATGAAACTATAGGTCCTTATAGGCAGGGATTGTGTCTCATATATATGCATATCTTCTTCTGTATTTGTATTTATTTATTTATTTGGCAATGAGTATTGAACCCTGGGGTGCTTTATCACTAAGCTACATCCCTAGTCTTATTTATTTTTTATTTTTGAGACAGGTCTTATGAAGTTGTTGAGGGTCTAGCTAAATTGCTGAGGCTGTCCTCAAGCTAGTGATCCTGCTGCCTAAGCCTCCTGAGCTCCGGGGGTTACAGGCATGTGCCACTATGCCCCACTCTCTTCTTTTTAAAAATCTATACTACCTCAGCCTCTAACATTTAACACAATCTTCTGGACACAACAGGTTTTTTTTTTTTAATATTTATTTTTTAGTTTTTGGCGGACACAACATCTTTGTTTGTATGTGGTGCTGAGGATCGAACCCAGGCCGCACGCACGCCAGGCCAGCGCGCTACCGCTTGAGCCACATCCCCAGCCCGACACAACAGGTTTTGAATGTGTAAGTTAACAACTCCTTAAGGTGAATGACAAATTTGTGCTAACTGATTAGCCATGTCATAATTTGTAGTCTTCAAATAGGGTTAAAGATCTCTGGGGCTACATGAAGATTCTACCAGAATTAAACACACATGGTAGTTTTAAGGGAATTAATTTCTACCTCATCAACTTACTTATGTCCCTTTCAAATAACTGACTTGCCCAAGAACTATTAATTCAGGTAAAAGTGTAAATCTTATCCTTTTTCCCCTTTCTCCTCTGTCATAACCGTCCTTCTACTTTACAAAAAGGCTTACTTTTTACCCATATGGAATCTAACTATATATATAGTACGCATTATTCCAGATTGTGAAAACTATGGAGGAATGAAAGGGATATTTCCAAAAATTATTATCTAACTTAGCTCTAATGATTATCTAACTTTTTATCTAATTATTATCTAACTTTGCACCAAAGTTGGTTTCCAATTCTTTGTTTCCAACAAAACTGTCAAGTGATCATTAAAATAGTTTTTAAGAAGTTACTATATAATATCTGGGTGTGGTAGTGTAATACCAGGGGCTCAGGAGACTGAGGTAGGAGGATTGCAAGTTCAAAGCCAGCCTTAGCAACTTGGCAAGGCACTAAACAATTCAGTGAGACTCTGTCTTTAATAAAAACATGAAAAAGGGCTGGGGATGTGGCTCAGTGGTTAAGCACCACTGGGTTCAATCCCCAGTACCCTCCCACCCCCCAAAAATTACTATGTAATTTTTGGCATAATCTAGGAATGAATTCAAGTAATTGAGTGATATGGTGTACTCAGAGAGAGAGGACTGGTCTTTGTGTTTTGCTCCTGGGAAATAATCACTAAGCCCAGGGGGATGTCTTGTCCTGTTTCTCTGGGGACTCTGGGCCATGTCAGATGTCTATGCTAACAATGTGACTTACAGAGGGGTCTTTGGATCATTTAGTATCAGCATGACCCTTGAAGGAGCTGGAAACTGAGGTCAACTACACAAGAGTCAGCTACACACCTATAAAACCAAGTCCTAATAAAACCTCCAGACTCCAAGGCCCAGGAAGTTTCCCTGGTTGGCAATATACAATGTGTATTGTCACATACCACTACCAGGAAATTTAGTACTGTCCACAACTCCATGGGAAGAAGATAACTGGAAGTTTCACTTGAGACATGTTTTTGGACTCTGTTCCATGTATTTTTTCCCTTCTGATTTTAATCTGCATTCCTTCACTGGAATAAACTGTAACTGTGAGTACAACAGACTTCAGAGAATTTTCAGTGAGTCCTTTTGGTCTTGGGACTATGAAACTTTGCATATGGCTATATAAAACTCCTACCTTTTCTGTCTTAATAAGATTTCTCAATATTTACCTCTTTAAAAATACAATAAGGAAAAAAGATCAATATTAAGCCTTGGCTCATCTACCAAAAAATCGTATTTACCTACAGATATATAAATCAACTGAAGGATAAACAAAAGCCCAGTGTTATTTATTAATATACACATTTCAATAAAATTTTATACTGTCTCTTCTCTATTAATCAAAACTTACATTATTTTTATCAGTTACATATTAAAAATTGAAACAATGGCATAATTCAGAATTTTTAAGAAATCAACAACCCAAAACAGAAAAAATTTTAAACATTCTAAGTTTAAACTTATAGCCATATTTTTTATTGTAAATATGTAACTTGAATAATCACTAAAAAGCTTTAAAGCATAGAAATGTGTTACATTAGGACAGAATTATGTGGAGAGTGAAACAGAATACTACAAATAGTTCGGGGGAAAAAATAGGAATCATGTCCTACCTCAAAAATTAACATAGAGCTATCATATTTTTTAAAATAAGTGATAGTATATCAAATTATTATGGTTTTTAGATTTTACTAGATATTTTTATTTTTGGGGGGTGCTGGGGATCAAATCCAGGGCCTCAGCATGCTGGGCAAGTGTTCTACCACTGATACATTCTACCCTAGATACATTTTTAAAAGCATTGTAGATAGGTATGGTGGCTCATGCCTGTAATCCTAGCAACTCAGGATGTTGAGATAGAAGAATCACAAGTTTGAGGCCAGCTTCAGCAATTTGGTGAGGTCCTAAGCAACTTAGTGAGACCCTGTCGCAAATTAAAAAAGAAAAAAGAAAAAAGGGCTGGGGATGTAGCTCAGTGGTAAAGTGTCCCTGGGTTTAATCCCCAGTACAACAACAAAACAAAAAACTTTAAAAAGAGGGAGTTAGTTATACCAGCCTTATTTTAAATGTTAACTGAATAGAAAATTATATTCTTAGCAATTACTCAAGCTTAAGGTAAAACTTCTTAGATGCTAATTTATTTATTTTTTATTTTTTTGGTGCTGAGGATTGAACCCAGGGCCTTGGGCTTGAGAGACAAGCACTCTTCCAACTGAGCTATACCCCCAGCCCCTTAGATGCTAATTTAAAAGCATTCACAGAGATGCAAAATTTTTCAAAAACCTGACTTTCAGAAAGAATGTGAGAAAGAAATCAAAGACAACTCTTACATTTTTACATGCCTCACTGTTTTAGTTTCTGTGGAGTACAGGGCAGGTGACCTTTACTGCTGGGGTTGGGGAGCTCAGTGATGATGAAAGAGCAGGAAAGCGAAAGGACAAGTCTTTCCCGGGATATAATTTGAGAAAATTCGTGGGGTACACATGCACAAAATCTATACATTAGCTTGAAATCTGGGACTGGTTCTTATTTGGAATACACATTCAGCACTCTGACACCCTCCCCTTCATCCCCTCATTTTCAACATCACCCCATATATTGCCTCAATAGAACTCTACATTCCATTGGTAGCTCAGACTGTGCTTTATTCATCTTTGAATGTCTCTATATTCCACAGTGCTTTATATGTAGTAGATGTTAAAAAACCTTTTCTGTTAAAAAAATTTGTGTATTAATTAAGATACTGGAACTTATCATTTCTTGTTTCTTGAGAGCCTATGCTTAGAACCCAGGCAATCTGCTGTGAGAAAGAACAAGCAGCCTGAAGAAGTCCTATGGAAAGGACTATGGAAAGTCCTATGTGAAGAATTGGGTTCCCTAGTCCATGGCCCTGACTGAGTTCCCAGCTGACAGCTACTGCCAACTTGTCAGGTATGTGAATGAGCCAATTTGGAAGCAGATCTTCTTAACATCCAGTCACATTGTTCTAGCCGATACCACGTTAAACAGATAAATCTTCCTTACTGGGAGCAGCCCGATTGTAGATTCATTTGAGACACTACATTCTGGATGGTTTGTTATACACCAATAACTGGAATATACTTAAAATAACTAACATATGTTATCTATTATTTTCTTCTAAAAATACACAATATTTCTGTTCCAAGAAAAGAAAGCTATGAGGATATAGTCAATATTCTTAGCTTAGATAAGCCCATTATTATTAATCCCTATTTAGTAGAGGATTAAAGAGGGAAGAAGAGGGAGATTAGAGAGGAAAATGAAATGATAGAATAAAACAAATGAGAGAAAAAGTGATTTCTCAGAAAAGTAAAGGAGAAATGGTATACTACTTTGCAAAGTAACATAAATGGTCATCTCTCAGAGAGCTAAAAGACTTACTTTCGTAAATAATCTGATTTTTAGATCTGATTTTCATAACTGGAAAAAAAAAGACACATAGAGAGGTAAGATGACCAGGTAACACAGGTCTTGAGGCCATGCCTGCCAATGTATCACACTGCTTTACCCCACCCCCTGCTCTCAGTTTAAAGAAACAACCTGTCACCTCAGACTATGGGGTGAAAGTGTAGAGGAATGGTACCTACACTGCATAGTAAAGAAACAGCTATTCCATCTCCTAAGAAAAAGAAAGAATATTATTCCTGGATTCTCAAACAGAATTCTAATCTGAGAGCCATGGAACTCAAGAGAAAGTGAAAGAAAATTCAAAACAAGAAGATGAATGGAGCAATCTGGGGTTACTTCACTGAGAATGACGAGAATTATTCTTTCAAAATGGGGAGTTCCATGGAAAGTACCATTTGAAGAAAGTAGGCTACAGGATAATGAAGTAGAATGGGGGTAGTGGGAAGAGTATGTCATTCTTTTACCTCTACCTCCTTTAGCAAATACTTAACTTGGTTTCTGGCTGGCAAATTCCAGGGGCTCTAACTATAGTACTAAAAGAATTAACTAGTAAAGGCCTTACCCTTCTGCTGGTCACTCACTCACTTCTCTCATGGAGAGTAAGCCCTTGCCACATCATTTATTATACTCCCATGGAGGACAAAGCACCTAAAATGCCAAGAAGTGGATGAGTGCAGAACTCTGGGATGCTTTTATCCATATTTTGGAGATAGTAATATTTGTTTCCATATTATAATTATATTAAAATAAACTGACAGATCTTAAGTTCACAAATTTTTATTAATTTGTAGTCTATATGATCAATCAGCTAAAACTAAACTAAAAATCCTTAGTAACTCCTTTGGAATAATAATACCCATAGGAAAAGTGAACATGGCACAGAGTGTTATGCTGTTGTATGCTTGAATTACATTTGTAAAAGACAGAGCACATGATGCTTCCAAATTTTGCTAATCAGACTGCCATCATCCAATCAATCATCTCAGTGATCTATATCTGTCATAAGTACAGTTAAGTATAGTGTTTCAATTGTGTTCTTTAGCTAGTATTTTGCACCCCCTCCCATCTAAGTTTCATGCAGGCTTGACATAAGATCATCAAAACAGAAGTTCTGTTTAACACTCAAAACTAAGACTCAACATTCTAAAGCTAATGAAATGATTAGAAAGACAAAACAGCAATTACAAATTCAGCTTTATGATGAACTGGATAGAAATGCAATCATTTTTTTAAATGCTCAAAGCAAGAATCAAGACCCCCACTGGCTACAGAAGATACAGTGATTCAATAGGAAGGCCTAAAGTTCAGGATAAGTTGGATTACTTCTATGTTACCACATGATAGTTAAATGAAAAAGCTATCATCAAAAAGAGAGTTGAGCTACTGACCAAAATAAATATATCACTTATATATCACTTTTATATATAAAATCTATCATTTCATTAGGTTGGGAAGTCATGATAAAATATGTAAAAAGTTTATACTTTTTTGTTTTCATTCTCTGGTTGGGGATTCTCAACATTGGTATGAGTCAGAATCACCTGGGAAGCATAAAAACGGGTACTTAAACCATCCACCAAGCACTCAGAATCTGCTCTGGTGTCTCCACTTATAAGCAATTTCTCAGGTAATTCTGATGAAAACCATAGCAAAAAGTCTAAATATTTTCAAATTACAGTTTACACTGTCAACTCTTATTTTCTAATATATTAACAGTTAATGCTGGAATCTCTGTCTCCTTACACATACTATTTAAATGCTAAGGTATCCAAGACAGTTTCAGTAAAGACAATTCACTTTTCTTGCTTAGTTTTAAAAGCCTACATGAATTTATTGTGAAAAGACAGAAAATGCAAAGAGCTACATGAACTACAATGTATTGGTACTTTTCAGAAGGTAAGGGATAGAGAACAGTAACTTAGGAAGAAAAAAAAATCCCCTCTTACTAGATTTCTCATTATAGAAAACTCAAAGCATGATTTAACATTGCTTCCATGATTTTAAAAATTAAAAAAATCTTAATTTAAAAAAAATTCAATACAAAGACATTCATGGCCAAGCACCTACTCCGATGGCACAATCCTCAAAGAGTAAAAGGCTTAACACCTAAGTATTATAGCTGCAGAGCTCATTCTTCTACTTGAGCTCTGGTTAAGAAACATTAAGTAAGTATTATTTACTGTTGTGTCTCTAGTTTTCAGTTACAAAATCAGGAATTTCACTCCACTGTACCAGCATTTCAGAGAAAAAGTCTTAGTACAAGCTGCTATTATGCCAAAAGTGCACAGAAGATTTCTAAAACTGGTCACCAAGATCAAGAGAGCTATCCTTCAGGCTTACCCAGAACTCAATACTTCCTTTCTATAGCTAACCTGAGCTTTTACACAAAAACTGAAATAAATCCCCAAGAGATGGTAAATATTTACCTGGTCCCTGTTGTTGATGTTTGAATAAGGTAACTGTCCAGTCATCAATTCATACAGAACAATCCCAAATGCATATACATCTGACTGAAAGCTGTACGGATTTTTATCTTGCATTCTGATTACTTCTGGTGCCTGTTAGAACATAAGAAGAAAAATATTGTAGTTTATTCTTCACTTCAAGTGAATAAAGACTGAAATAAAAACTGTAATTGCCAGAGCAGTGTTTTATCATAAAAAAACTCATCTCTTATTAATAGTCAAAGAACTGAAACCAATTAAGAAAGAGGAAGAAAAAAAAACTCCTGCTCTATAGATTCTGAAAGAAGCAGTTCTAGGTAAGATTCTATAATGCATTACTAAGACTAAGACTTTATAATTTTATCAGCTAATTTTCTTTCTGAACAAAATACCATCACTGCCATTTGACTTCTTCCTAAGACTTACCCTATCAGAATCAGTTTCCACTTCTCATTCCTGATTGAGCAAAAAAACAATAACAACAACAACAACAACAAACTAGACCTGTAGCTATAAGATGCTCGAGAGTAGGCACAACTACTACAGTAATTGTCTCAGAACTTAAGTTTTTCCATTGGTACAAAAGGTTTTCCTCATCTCAGGGCACCTTAGAAAATAATGGTAGAATTTAAGGCTGATAAACTCGAATTCCCTGTTAAGCCATGGAATAAACACGTAGTATAAACATGTCACGGAAACTTTATTAACAAAAGCTACAGACAGCAGGTAGATTTAGGGAAAAAATGGTATAAAAAATCTTTTGGCTGCTGGTCCTTGGCAAAGTAATAGACCAAATCACTATCTGCCACATTTTTACATATTTCAGTCATTTGTATTGCACAACTATATTTCTAATTTACATGAAATACAATGATTGACTGGTTAACAATTAGCTTAAAAGATTTCTTCCTTCGCAAATTATCTCCTGTTTTGTTTCATTTGGAAAGAATTAAGAAGTAGCAAGAATATTAATGAAAACATCAATTTGATAGTAAAAGCTGTACTAACTGCAAAAATGGCTAGAAAAGGTTCCTGGTGTGGGAAAGCAGGTATCTCACAAGGAGAGGCAGTGGCTCTTAACTACAGCTGCAAGTCAGACCATTTGTGGAGCTTTTAAACCTCACAATGGCCAGACTACACTCAGTCTCAGTAATTTAACATCTGAACCTGGGGTGGGTCCCAAATGTTATTGATCATTAAAGCTCTTCAGGTGATTCTAACGTCTAACCCAAATTGAGAACACTGATGAAAGATCTGTGGAAGAACCTAAAGGGAGTCAAAAGATGGGGTTGGAAGAGAAGTTTGCTACTACTCGCTTTTGTTATACATTCTGATGATAGTTGCTTTTAAGTAATATAGTACAAAATAAACCACTTACAACTTTGATGAAATGAACAAACCAGAATACCAAGAAGCCGGTTATGATAAAAGACATAATATTCAAAGCCTAAACTAATTTTTGTGAGGGACAGAGTAAAAACTAGTTGAAGAACTATCTTTTCATACGTGTGTGTGTGTGTGTGTGTGTGTGTGTGTGTGTGTTGCTGGGGATTGAATCCAGGGCCTTGTGCATTCGAGGCAAGCACTCTACCAACTGAGCTATATCCTCAGCCCAGAAGACGTCTTTTCAAAAATTAGTTTTATTTCACTGTTGTTGGTGGATGGCTTGATGAAAAGCTGTATGTGAGCTATTTACAAGAAATGCATAACTGATCTTCAATTTAGTAGTTTAACTTGTAAAATTTTTCACAAAGGTTTCTCTTTCAAGATACACATAAAAGAAAGTTAAGACAAATATAATTAATTCAGAGGACCACATAATGTTAGTTCTGATCAAACTCTGTGGTTATTCTGTATTTGCTTCTGAAGGCAGTATCAACCCAGAAAGATTTATTTAACAAAGAAGTACATTATTGGCTATTCTCTTACCTTAAAATTTAGCATAAAGGATGAATTTATCTATCCAGGTATCAACAAAAGTAATTAGAAGGAAATATAAACTTTCTGTGTAATAATACACTAACTGAAAAATCTTAAAATTTTTCAGAGTAAGAACAAACCTGGAGACTTGATTGGGCTCAATTCTCCCACACTAGTTAAAATAAACATACCTTTAAAAAATGTGCATGGTTTGTTTTTTAGGTTCTGCAATTTCAGCACTTAAAAATCCGTTTCTGCCTATCATCTTAGGATATACTGCCATTTTTGTTATAGGCATATACTTTAAAGGGTCCTGAAATCCAATTATAATCATAATCCAAATATAATTATTAATTAGCCTCATATTTCTAATTATTATTTAAAACCATTAAACATATATTAAAGAATTTTTTAAAAACTTAGCTAACTACAATTACTAAATTTTAGAAAGGGCCTCAGAAATTCACTAGTCCAACTCAACACTGTAGATGGAGAGAGTAAGAGGAGGTTAAAAAAACCTGCAAGTTAATGGCCAGAGTACTACTAGAATACAGATCTCCTGACTCTAATATTAAAGTCCAATGTCTTCTCTTCCACCTTGCCACTTGCCCTAATTCCATGTACTGTCATAAGAAATCATAGCTCAACTTAACCCTATGCCTATATCTTGATAAACTTGGAATCTTACCCTGGAATTCCCTTCTTGGGCACTGCTACATATAGTTTGAGGAATTTTGGCAAATACAGCTTCAGAAACCCTCACAACTTTTCTGTTTCTGGCAGAGTGTCCCAGAAGTTTTAATGCATATTAAATTATTTAAAGCTTAAAATTACACTAAGACTTCTGGGATACCTGTATTTAGCTTAGAGCTCCAGTTTTCAAACTTGCTGGTCCTAGGACTTGTTTTCATTCTTAAAAATTATTAAAGACCCTAAAGAGTTTTTGTTTATGTGGATTGTATCTGTGGCTTATTTATCATATTAAAACTTAACAAAGAAACTTAAAATATTGACTAATTCATTTAAATATTAAAAATAATAACCACTAATGTCAACACAGAACACACATTTTTAATAAAAAATATTTTTAAAAATAAAGGTTAGTGAGAATAGTACTGTGATTCTCTTTGACATCTGGCTTAGTAGCAACCAGGTGGATTCTATTTGCTTCTTTGTTCAATCATTCTCTCCTTTTGTTCTTGCAGCTCTGGGGATCCAAACCAGCATATACTGGGCGGCACTCTACAATCAAACGACACTCCTTGCCCTTGCTTCTCATTTCAATATGTTGCTATGTGTTGTTTTGATCGGAGGATAAGAAGAAAATCTGGTCTCACAAAGGGATTATTGTGGTTCCTCCCAATGAAAGGTCTTAGGGATCCTTTTGAGAACTGCTGATTTATATAGCATGATTCCTATACATTTTGGGAGGTACTGGGGATTGAACCCACTCTGGGCTACATTCACAGCCCTTTATAATTTTTCAATCTTGAGACAGTTTCCCTAAGTTGCTTAGAGCCTTGCTAAATTGCTGAGGCTGGCCTTGAACTTTCAATCCTCCTGTCTCAGTCTCCTGAGTTGCTGAGATTAACTGTCTGCTGCAGTAACTGCACAGAAATTTTGTTCCCTTCTTTTAGAACTTCTCTTTCTTCTTTTCAACAAAGCAAAAATAAGAATAAAGAAAGAGAAAATAAGTTATGCAAGGAAGCATAAGGCTAATACTTAAAAATTCCCCAATTTTTTCCTCTTGCCTTTCCTCTCCCAGCTGCCCCATAATCATACTGTTCTTTCCAGTCTGAAGGAAGTAACTTTCCAGTTTAGGCTCAAGTAAGATTGTAAAATAGCCTCTTTGTTAAAAGGAAGAGTTTTCTTAGCAAAACCACAATAATGGCTGTACTCCACACCTGCCTTAAATTGCAACCTATTTTTTTTTAAACAGTGCACATAGGACATTTTGAACACAAAATATTTTTAAACGGACAATTCTGAATAAACTTTAAACATTGTTTATAAAATATATTTTTGTTTAAAATATAGTGAAACTGACTTTATACATTCTTTTTAAAGATAAAAAAAGTTAAAATTATTTACATAAAACATTGATTTTTTTTTTCCAAATACTGGGAACTATGAAAATACGATAGTTGAAACCTGCAATGACTTTCTAGTTACTCAGCAGCATCTCAGGTTCCAAAAATGTAATCCATGGAGAAATAGCCTCAATTCTTACCATCCACAAAATGGATCCAGACAACTGTTCAAACTGATGGGACCCACTCCATCGAGATTTCACTGTAGCTAGACCAAAATCACCTATTTTTACCGTGAGGTCTTCATGAAGAAATATATCTGAGGTGTAGTAAGTAAAGGAAAACAATAGATCTCAATTCTCCTATTAGAGCAAACATTATGAAAATTTTAGGTAAGAGATCTAGTTTCTATAATTCTGTAATATGATAGTCTTTAATAAAGTACAGTACTTCAATATTTCCTAAAGTTGATTGAAAAGGTTTTAAACAATAATTAGTTGTATTTAACCTAAGTAACCTATTTTTAAAATTTTGGGGGCTTAAAATGTACAAGGATGAGGTGATGCTTTCTTAAGCCTTCGGGAGCTCTAGAAACTTTCCCATTTGATTTTGATCATGTAGGCCCAGATATACTTTAGCACTTCTGGGGAATCTATAAAGGCTCTTTACTGGAATAAAGATGCCAGCAGGCAGGGTCTGAGACTGGGCTTACGGAAAAAGAATTTTTTTTCTCATCTCACTGCTATGTAATTTAGAGCCTTCCATTAGATCTCAACTACTCCTGAACAAGGGCAGAGGGGTGAAAGAAACTAGTACATAGCTATAAACTTATCTGTTTTATAGTGTGGATAGAATGTAAGCAAGCAATAAAAAAAGTCCTACTATTATGAAGACTTTAGATAGATTTTCTTATAGTGCTCAATCATTCAGAAACCAAAAGCAGGCTATTATATCCTTCTCTACTATACTCTCATGCAAGCTGATTTATTAATATTCTTTACAGTATACTGAATTTAGCATGAAAACTGTTTTTACATAATGTGAAGACAAAATGCAGAAGAAAAAGGATGTTTTCAAACTTCGCGGACAAATTTCAGGAAGGATACTATTACTCTTGAGGTCTCTGTGGATGATTGACTTGGCGTGTAAGTAACTGAAAAACAAAACATCATTTAAACCTGAGTAAGGCTAAAGGACTCTGGCCTCAGAATCTACAGAACATACTTAGGGGTATAAATATTTATTTAGAATCACGATACAATTAAAATCTGTACATTGTGATAACTTCTTTATACATAAATTAGTTGACTATAAATGAATTTAGGATTTTAGAAACATATCACTATTATTTACAGCCCAAATCTTGTTTATATTTAAAGACTTCACTTTATCTTTTACTAATTACAAATACAAACCTTTCAACCTGTGAAGCCTATTTATTAATTTCCTATAAATACACTTTGACATTTAATGCTTCCCACCTGTACCCATCTCTCCAAATCAGCTTTCATTTTATTTATCACATATTTAAACTTGTCCTTTAAGATGCAACACAAATTCTAACTCCAAAGTGAAGCTTTCCTATGATTAACCCAACTGAAAGTGATCTTTCATTGTTCAATTTATTTAGTAATTATTTTAATAGCTGGATTTATTTATTTTTTTAATGTGCCTATGTTTGCTTTCTATTTAGAATGTAAACTCCACCATAATGTAAAAGTTTGGTAAATTACAACTATTTTTAAAGGTGGTATGATATATTCTTAAAGGACCTTACTGAAACTATATGAAAGTTGGGTGAGGTGGTTCATGCCTGTATTCCAGTGAATGGACCTTACTGAAACTAGTGAGGAGCAGACTTCCTCTATAATGACCACAGTGGATCTATTTTAAAACTAACTTAAAGTTTAAATCATCTATGGTACCGCCACAAATTGCTTTAGTTGTGTTCATTGAGGGAAAGCGCTTTGATTAATTTATTTCCATTTATCTACACTGCCTAATATAAGACCTGGCATGTATGTTAAATATTCAATATATCTGTTGAATCAACTATAAATAGGATATATACATAAACTCCACTCAAATTTAATTCTGGAAAAAACAGATGAGACTTCTGAAATCTAACAATGACCATTAAGAAATAAGTTCTGCTTTAAAATAAAAAATTAAAATCCAAATAATATGATCAAAATCATGTAATGGACACCTAAAAATAGAAGACTTCCAAATAATTGAGATTCTTCATGTTTTCTGGTCTTTATTTAAAATTTCCTCATTCTCCCAGTCATCAGGATTTTAAAACTAAGTTTTTGAACTAAATTTTCATTTTAAATTACTATTTATTCAAAGTAATTCTTTCTCCTCCAATTACTTCTAATCTCACACTATTTCTATCATTTACAGCATACACCACAATATAAAACTTATCTTGTTTTGTAGGGTGAGTGTTGTTCTGCTACACCATACTGTCACTTTTCCATTGAAAGAAAATCTGATGTCAATTATTGGTACCATCTGCTTGAAAAGTTCTGCAGTAACATGGAAAGCTAAAAACAGATGGAAATAAATGTGTTCTAATCAAAAGCTTTTTCAAGATGGGGAGAACCTGACTCCATGAGAAAGAAAGGGGGTAAATGATGATGATGTTGTTGGTGGAGCTAGGTCAAAGAGCCCTAGGGTCTAGTGTGCTGCAAAGGTGTTGGTCTTTGAAAGGGGTTCCTTCTCCTGGGAGATGAAACAAACAAAACCAATGGGAGATACATACGAAAATGGAGGCATGATGAAGTTAAAAGGAGTGCAGATAAAGATGCTTTTTATTTTGGGGGGCAGTAGAAGGAATTGAACCCAGAACCTTGTGCATGCTAGACAGGTACTCTACCACTCTGCTACATCCCCAGCCTGATAAAGGTGTTCCTTTCAATGCAAAACAATAGAACTAGAATAAAAGAGAAATGTAACTGAAGAGCTGAGGAGAAAAAATTTCTGTCCAGGAATTTAACAGATAATTAACAAAATATAAATGTGATTGTTGAACTAGTGGTTATTACCAGTAGAAGCTGGACAGCATAAAGTATTAAAGATCAAAGTTGCAAATGGCTGCAATTTGAAATAGCATCACCTTATACCCCATCACCTTATACCCCCTGCTTTCCTAATTTTTATCTCATGTAATAATTCTCTTTCTATAATATTTCTGCAACTAAAGTGACAATAAAGTCCATGTCTGTATAATGGAAGGCTGGAAGGAAAAGAAGCTATTTCCCCAACTAGAAAAAACAGGATGCACATCATACCCCAACCCTATAAAATAAAAAGTTTCACATTAATTGTATCATAAACAATTCTATATAGGTTGACACTAAAACAATTTCCTAGGCAATGACCCATTATAATGGAAGATGCCAAAAACAAATAAATAAACAACCACATAGTCAGTTGGGGGACAGGTAGGAAAGGGAACAAGAATAAACTGACTTTGGCTACAGAAGTCTATGCATTATTTAGGATAATTCCACTAGCCCTCTGAACTTTTTAAGACATTAAGGAGAACGTTACAGGTTTACGAATGTTATGGGTTTTCAAAAATACTAGGAAAGACAAACATGGTATCAACTAAATATCACATTCTCTTGACAGAATTCTCTTAGGAAATCTCTTATCTGGAAGAAAAAATGTCTACCAATAGAATCATTATTCTTAGATCTGCAAAATTATCTAGTAAAATTTGTTTTCTGTATATTCCTTTTAAGTTCTTACATAAAATTAAGTTTTTCAACATTCTTTTCAGAGCACAAGATGATGCCTCAAACTAAGTAAGCATTTCAGATTTGATCTAACACAAACTAGAGTGAGATTCCCATCTTCATCTGTCCCTTGTGGTGAGCATAAAAAATTTAAGTGAGCCATTGTCACTCAATGGATTCTTAGGTTTAATTACAACACTAGAATTATCTTTTTAAACTGCTCCTATAAAATGCTTCCTCCTTGGGCTGGGGTTGTGACTCAGTGGCAGAGCACTTACCTCACACATGTGAGGCACTGGGTTTGATCCTCAGCACCACATAAAAATAAACAAAAACAGAGATATTGTGTCCATGTATAACTAAAAAATATTAATAATTAAAAAATGCTTCCTCCTCCTACATTTGCATACTTCTGTTCTTTACACCTGGATGAAATTTTATGTTTTGTAGATATGGCCTAAAACCCCACATTAAAATTTTAGTTTTCGCTAAAATAGGTTTTAAAAGATTGGCATTCTAATGATGTCCTCATCTAGGTACTGCTAAATATACTCATCACATTCACAAGAGAGGAATAAAGACAGAAATCTTCCAGCTTGCTACTTTCAGGTATGATTGTTTATCCAGTTATGAATCTAGTTAAGTCCTGCCATTTGTGTTACATCTCTTGGTTTTATCTTTAAGAAGAATATGAAAGTTGGGTGTGGTGGATCATGCTTGTATTCCAGTGAATGGAGGGGGCTAAGGCAGGAGGATCACAAGTCTGAGGCCAGCCTTGGCAACTTAGTGAGACTTTGTTTCAAAATAAAAAATGAAAAGGGAAGGGGATGTAGCTAGCTCAGTGGTGGAGCATTTCTGGGTTCAACAAAAACTTAGTACCAAAGGAAAATCAACAAAACCAAACAAAGTCAAACCAAACCAAACCAACAACCAAAACCAAAACCAAATAACTCCCCTCCCCAGAAAAAAACCAGGAGCAATATTATTCAAATACTTTGATGAAATTCAAATACTGCAGTACACCATCTGGCTGATTTATCAGTCTCATCTATTTGTGAAAGCTTCTAGGCTCATGTTAATTGGCTGCTATTTTCTCTATTTTTAAAACTTCAGACCTGGACTAAGCAGACACTTATATTTTGGCCTTTTTTTAACCAAATTCTACACAATCCCACAGAGGTTCATCAAACTTCAGGACAGCAAGCTGACTCCCTCTGACACCCTAGCTGCCCTTGGAAAATTTAGAAGCTGTCTCAACTGGTAGATGTGACAGTGGTAACAGTGTCATATAGTCTTTCTTCTACTTTGATGTTTTTTGGTTCCCCTGAAAATCATGATGTAGAAAGCGAGCAAGATGGAAGGGAATGACATTCTGCTACTTCTCCATAGTCAGCAATCATTTATCATTTTAAAAATAATTAAAATCTCCAATAGGTAGTTTCCAGATTTTTCAGCTGTGGTTTATAGTAGAACTTAAATTCTATCTCACTTTGTTTTTACCTTCTTTCACTTAAAAAAATAAAACTTATTGAGGTATAATTATAAAAGACAGTGATTCAATTTTAAATGTCTAATTAAACGAGTTCCAACAAATTTATACCATCGTGTAATGACCTGTCATAATCAATATAAAGAATATCTACCACCCCAAAAAAGTTTCTTCATCTATTTTTGCAATTAATAATACCCCCAGATGTCCATTGTTAATTCTTTTTGTCACTATGGGTTATTTTCATCTTTATGAATTTTGTATAAAAAGAATTATATGGTTTCTTTTGCTTAGCATAATGATTTTGAGATCAACCTGATGGTTGCCTGAAGTATTACGGGGTATGAATATACCACAGCTTATCCATTTAACTGTTGGATAGGTACCATTTGGACATTTTGTTTTTTAGTAATTATGAATAAAATACTGTAAACATACATGTATAAATCTTTGTTGTTGATGTTTTTTATTTCTTTTTGGTTAGTTAGGTAAGATCAGAATTGCCCATTTGTTAAGTTTAAAAGAAACTATCAATTTGTTTCCCCAAATGGTTGTCTCATTTGAAATCCTTATAATATATGAAAGCTCCAAGTTGCTCTTCATCCTTGCCAACACCTAGTGTTCTGATTACAGGCGTTCTGAATGGTGTAGTTCTATAGCACTGTAGTTTTAATTTGCTTTTTCCTAATGTCTAACTATGTTAAAATTTTAGGGGGGCTGGGATTGTAACTCAGTGGTAGAGTGCTTGCCTAGCATGTGTGACGCACTGGGTTCGATCCTCAGCACCACATTAAAACAAAAATAATAATAAAAAAAGGTATTCTGATCAACTGAAAAAAATTAAAAAATCTTTGTGCTTATTTTCCATTTACATACATTCTATAATAAAGATTTCAAATCTTTTTTTTTTTTTTTTTG